TCCATATTTCTCTTTTGTTAACCGGACTTATAACTTCCCACTGTACATTTTACATTTATATTAATCAAATATGCCATTCTTGAACACTAAATGTAAATAATATCCTACCTTAAATTGTGTTAGCTGTAATTTGGACCTTCAATAGTGTTTTATTTCTCAGACAATTTACAGATTTTTATCTTCACGTCATCTTTTCAATTTTCACTCTTTTAGTTCTGTTTTATCTTCTATTTTGATATGTTTATATTGTATAACTGTTTATTTTCAACTCTTTTCTATTTGTAATACAATACTTGCAATACTTTGTTTAACACGCTGTTGCAACAAAAACATTTTCCATTTAGGGGTCAATAAAGTATATCTTATCTTATATTCTGCATATTTTCTGCAGCAGGAAGGTGCTAAACTAAAGTGCCCATGGTTGGTGGTGGACAATAACTTAGCCCGTTTACTTCAGACTAGCACATTGTAGAAATATTCAGTAAAAGTCCTGCATTTGAAATCCTACTTAGGTGAGTGAGTAAGAACAAAAGTATTAGCAAGAAAATATAGCTAAATAACAAAAAGAAAATGTACTTATCCTGCACTTATTGTGACAGCCCATTTTAGAATAATATATTATATAATATTTGTTTAGAACTATTCACGCATTAATGTATTAATTACTTTAATGCTGACTTTTTTTCCTCACATACTGTATATACTGCCTGGTAGCTTGTACATTTCATCAAACAATCAATACAGTTTTTCTTAACTTAGAGTACAAGTAATACATTATATCATATGTGTTGATCATATATTGTATTACTAATCTGAACCCTCAAAGCAGCTCTCATATAAAGGAACATATTTAATTCTGAGATGTAGTGGAGTGGAATAATTGAAAAATTGAAATATTCAAGTAAATTACAAGTACTTTAAAACTCTTCTGTACTTGCATAAATGTAATTATTTATTGTCCACCACTGCCCACAGTCATTGTAATGAAGGAACATGTCTACTGGTGATGTGTTTTGTCCTATATGGAGCTCTACCGCAGCAGCACAAACTGAATTTCCTCCAAATTGTCCTTAAACTTCCGAGTACTAAACCTCACTTGGCCATATTTTGTAAAACAGAATGAGGCTTTGGATACAAGTGTATATCCTCTTTTGTTTTTAACTGTTGCTATGAAACCAAGGACAGTTAAACTCGGCAGCAGCTTGCTAACCTCCCCTCTGGCTACACCAGACTCAAAGACCCTCCTCCATCTTGCCCTGGGTGATACAGCAAAGCATTTGGTTCGGGCCACAGCTTGCACTGCAGCCCCAGGTCGTGTCTGGCCTCCTCATGACGACTTTTAATCAGTGACTTATGGAACAAAACTGCACCAAACCACACAGTGACATCCAAGCTTTTCCTCAGAGGGCTCACAGTCATTTGAGGATTTTGAATTAATTACCTGACAATGGATCTTCAGAAAACAGATTAAGGGATCAGAGAAAATCAGGCATTATTTGTGCTTTCTGGTACAAGCCAAAAGCTAAACAAGTAAAGAATGCTACAACAGCGTGAAATCCAAAGGACAACAAGCTTGTTTGTGTGTGCATCAGAAGAGCCATTCCAGTCTTCCCTGTGTAAATATGCTTAGCTCCAGATGATCTTCAAGGACGCGCTTGTTTGTACCTGCCGTGTCGTTCTGCTCGTCCGCCCAGCATGACACCCTGTAGCCTAGGACCAGCCCCTCTGAGATCAAAAGACCTTGGTGATTCTTATCAGATAATATTCTTGTTCGCCTTCCCTCCCCTTTGAGTCCAGCCTCCTCACACTGTTGACCTGAACCATGCACACTGTTCCTTATGGCCCTTTGGCCTTTCCTCTTCTTATCACCGTGATGGCCAGGCCATGATAAGGCAGGTCCAGCCTCGGGATAGAAGGAGGGTACTGTCCACTCTTTTTAAAACGTCACAGTTGCATAACTCGGACACTTCAGGGCAGTAAAGAGGTTATCTCAGCTCTCAGTGGTACTATGTTTTACACACTCACAAAAAAGGCAAAAGTGAGATATCTCCCACCATGCAAATTATGTTGATCATAAATGTGTTCTGACTTGTAACGGATCAATTTAAGTGTCTACACGTACAAAAGAACCACATCAGTCACATTTTATTATTGTAATTTAAATGTTGTACGTATCCTTATGTTTTATGCTTTTGTGAATTTGAATCCGGTTGACATCTGATCTTATCGTTGTCATCGTCTTTGTGCAAGGAGGATGAAACTTGCTTTAACAAAGATACTTTCACTGACATGTGACAACATGCATGTGTGTCCGTTTTTGTGTGCGTTTATGAGTATGCCGGCTGAGCAGACAGACAGAGGGGACTGGTGTCCAAAGTCACGACCCTGCTCTGACCTGGATGAAGGAAATGGTCACGCTGCTCGAGACAAAGCAGGGCAAAGGAGAGTCTGAGGGGCTGGCTGGTCAGCCTCTAACAATGGGTCCGTGCTCTAAGACCGCGGGCCACACAAAAGCCAGAGAAACCCCCTCCTCTCCATTCCCACATTGCAATAGAACCGGCATTTCACACTGGCCTGTGAACAGCCATTCAATCAAACTACTGTTTAACCTGACCCCTGGCCTACACAGAAATCAAGATGAGTCTGGCGGGATGTATTTAGGTAACTGGCCTCTCTGGCTTTACTCCAACCGTCAGCTACTACACAACTCTGTCTTTACCTCAGTTCATATTGACTCTTATCTATAAATGCAATATGTTTCCCATTTTGTGATTACTGCTCCAAATCTGATTCAGAATCTGTTTTATTGACAAGTAGGTTTATACCAACGAGAAATGTGCATATCAATATATTAAGAGAAAATGGAATTCAAAATAAAAAAGGATAAGATAAAAGAAACATAAATTAAAGAAAAGAAAAAAGACAAAAATACAAATGTGAAAAAATACTATAAAGATGTGTTCAAAACATCTGAAATAAAACCAAATGTATAGAAGAAAATATAAAAAATACTATAATATTTGTACAATATGTATTCATAAAAATTAAAGCGGAATATTACAATAAAAATGTGAAAAATACTCTAGAAATATAAATACACTATATCTGAATCAAACAAAGCTGCATGCGAGGAAAATAACAATACAGATATAAAAATGCTATAAAATATGTACATATGTATAATGAAATAGGTGTGGAGTGAAGTCCTGTGAATAATACTTAAACGTGCGTGATCAATAGGCCACCCAATAAATAATGTGTCTAGTGATGGGTGTAAGGGGCGATAGCTCCCTGGGGAAGGAGAGACATCACCAGACCCCTTGTCTGGGTCAACTGCCCTCGAGCCGGGCTGAGAGCAGCAGCCACATGACCCTCTCGCTTCTCAATAGACTGCTCCTCCCCTCTACCTGTACATGGCTGGGATCAAGGTGTGGGGGCTGCTGCATATCAAACAGAATGGGGCCTTTGATGTGGATGCTAACACAAACACTGTTTTGAGCAGAGTCGTAACAGCTTATTTGTTCCCTTTAGTCATTCATTGAGCTGCTTGTTGAATGTGTATGTCTTCAAAGGGTTGCAGCATGCACTAGTGGTACAGTAGCCGAGGAGGGCCTGAGAGTAGCCCCAGCCTAGTGGGTTGTGGGAAGGCCATCTGGCTTCCTGTTCCTTAGATTTGATATTGATTTATTGGCTGTACATGGGAAGATAAGGGGGCACCAGCTGCCAGAAGTTCTCCTCTGCATCCTCACAGACAATGGGCCTCCTGGTCAACCACATCCTGGGTAAATAGGTAATGCATCACTCCTTGTTCCAAGTTTCAACAAGGCAAAAGGGCAACTAGCAGAACTATATGACAAAATGCAACATTTTTAAATTAAGTTGTTTCCTTTTACTCAATGGCACACTCCAATAAATCTACACATGTTGTGATATTATTCACACGTTAAAAATGATGTATGAATCCGCACTTTACTGTCACAACACAGTTAAACTACTTATAGACTGTGTTTACTGGTCTCCAGGGCCGAGGCAACAGTAGTTTCAGTGTTTGTTGTAATAAAGACTGTTCCCGTTAATGAGGTGCAAAATTACATTTACTATTCCTAACAAACCCTGACAACCTTTCACAGTTTAACCCATCACAGAAACCATTAATAGAAAATTAGGCTCTTATGCAAAACAAGTCTCCCGTTCCTGTTAAGTGAGCCGGGGAGCGCTGCAGTTTGGCCTGAGCCTTGTGGGTAGAGGTGTCGGCATGGTGCCACAGTGAATTGTACTTCTGCCTGATTTTTCTCACCAATACACCCCCCACTCTTAAAAAAAGACACACTCACATACAGACAGACTCTGGTGTCACCCACCCCCACCCTTTCTTCCCTTTCCCCTCCCCTGCCAACACAAGCCTGTGATGTGACTGTCTCAGATAATGAGGTGAGAATTTTATTGCACCAGTCTGTGAGGATGACAGCGCCCCAGGCCTCCGTGCAGCCTCGCTGGTATCAGGCGCCCTCTGCTGACTGCCCTGAGCTCAGGCTGGGCTCACACACTACTCCCACTCTCCTCCAGCAATGCACTTCAAAGTGGGAGATCAAGGGGTGACTTGCGCATGACATGCAGGGAATGACAATGCCTCAGCCAGCCTACACCTACTGCTACGTGCCAGTCCCAGAGACACAAAGGCATACAGGCTTCTCCCGCACTGCTTTGCTTCATGAAGGAAGGTCTCATTCAGCAGGGGTATATACATACAGGAAGAAGGCAGTGCTCTATGTGTATTCTCTATGAATACTGAAGGGTAAAGGCAAAGTGAGGGGCAGAGGAAGGGCAGCAGAGGAGACAGAGTGGCAACAGATTCTTGGCTGGTGTCCTGTTTGATTGCTGAAGCATTAATTGATAAGATACAGCGTCACACCACTTATCTTTAAAGAAAGACTCCTCATTATCTCGTGTATCACAAACCACATATGACAGAGGGATCAAAGACTTTTCAAAGTGGGCTCTTTTATTGCTCTGTGGACCCAAAAAAATCATACTTCCACACCCATAAATTGGATGTAAAGGACTTCTTCTGAATATCATCCTGGCTCTAAAGATTGCATTGATTTGCTTGTAACATAATTTGAATACCTTTGAACTTTAAAAAAAAAAGTAGCCTGGTTGCCTGAGTATCTAATATGAGATATTACAATACATACTATTTGACCTTTGATCCAAAAACGTCTCACCCTTATAAGCCGTAGACATGCTTACGGGACCAATTCAGGATATCTTGCCCAAGGACACTTTGACATGTTGACTGCAGGGGGTGGGATCGAAGCACTGAACCTATAATTGGAAGATCAGCATTAGCATTAAGTAATTCACCCCCTGAGCTATTGCCCCCTCCAAATATGAATACAGTGTGTGTGCACATCTCAGGGCAGTAATACATTTTGCAATTTTTTCTAGATGGTTTCTTGACCATCACTTATATTACCTCCACTAGATCAAACTTTGGTGTTGAGTTTTCATAAGTGAAAGCTAGTGTCCCATCACACGCACAGACACATCCTTTTTCCACCCCCAGCAGGCAGTGAGAGGGGGAGTGAGGGAGCCCTCTTGTGATCCGCCTGTCATTTCCTCTGGTTGGCTCTGTTGTTCCAATTGTGGAGGAGCCAAGTGGTCCAGACAGAAGGTGGGCTCCTGGCATGCTGCTGAGGTTGTTGGCCCGGCAGGAGAGACAGGCCAAGACCCGGAGAAAAACAAACATGGTGCTGAAACAAGACAGGGAGCACAAATCAATGCTGATGAAGTTAGACAGTAAATCAGAGCTGATCCATTAGGTTGAATAAAGAATATAAGAATTTAGCCTGCTGGTTTAGTAACACGTTGACTGTCCTTGCAGATAAAAAAAAAAGGAGGATATTAGAAATAAAACTGAAACGATAAGTTGATTAATCTTATAGTCAATTTACAGAAAGAAATTGCAATTGTTTAAAAATCCATAGATAATGTATTTTTCAAGCTAAAGTGACATGAAATGCTATTAAATATGGATATGTTCGGCCTTTCTGTTCTATATCATATTAAACTGAATATATTCAGGTTTTAAACATATAAAAAATAAATAAAAACGTTGATATCTTTTTGTATTTTATAGATCAAATGGTTAATCAATCATTAACAAAAAATGATAAACATATTAACTAACTTCAATTCCAAAAACCTCTCCCTTCTTTCATCTTTATATTTATCTGAGGTACACTTAATTATTAATACATTGAAGCAATGTTATAATTTTCTATCTAGGACTCTCAGGTCTTTGCGTTGAGCAGTTCATGTCCCAATTATATACAGTATCTCTTCATGAGTAGGAGATTCTTATTTGTCCCCAAGGTCCCATGTAGACAATCAAAATGTTGGAGAATTGCGCCAACTATAGATGCAACGTTTCCCCACCAATCCTTTAAATATCTCACAAACTGGAAACCGTTTTTACACAACATTGCAGTGAAACACAATTGGCCTCTATTATGTTGAAATGATATGGATTCATTTGTCAGTGGTGGAAACATAATGTACTCAAGCACAGTTTCAATGTACTTGACTTGATTATATATATATGTATGTTATGCCACTTTGTTCTTTTAAATGCATTGCATATTGCCACCATGCTTAAATTACTATATATTTTGCAGATTATTATATGATGCAATTTTCTTAGATGAACAATGTAATTATATGTAAAGTAGGATACCTAAAGCTAGCTCAAATTCATCTAGCTACAAAATACAAATACAAAAAAAAGAAAGATAGAAATGCTATTTACATATTAAGACAATAGTAATAACAAATCTAATTGTGTAATAGGCAACAAATATGATTTTATGAAATGAAATTGTATTACAATAAATGGTGTGTTTATTTATCCAAAGATTTGTTATTACTTTATTAGAGGATATTAGACTGTATTGTGTTTAAAATATATTTAACATCTTGTGAGTTTTTAAACCAGGTTAAGAGCGTCCCCTAGTGTCTTTGATACATAACTCCATCTCACCGGTCAAAGCGACGTGTTGTTCTGTCACACAACACCACTGGTCGGGATAGGAGACGGATGCCTTCTCGGTCTCTACATTTAGATGTCTAACCTGCACAAACAACTCCTTTGCTTTCCACCGAAAAACTCTGAAATCACCCAAGCAAGCAGACACACCGGGGATACAAGCAGAGATGGCCTCGGTGAAAAAGGACGACAGACTGACGAGTTCCCAGAGCTTCATGTGCGTCGGTTTCGCCGGGTTTTTCAGCAAAACCTTCACGTCGCCCTTGGAAGTAGTTAAAATAAAAAGTCAGGTGGGCACTTTTCACTGTAAGAGGGGTTTCCTTGAGAGTTTCCTCTTAATCTACCAGAATGAGGGACTTCGAGGATTTTGGAAAGGAAACCTCGCCTCTTGTCTGCGGTTAATCCCCTACACCGCAGTTCATCTCACAACATACAAAAAGTAAGTAAAGTGAACTATAAATCGTTTAATCTCAACCTGTTTGTGCTTACAACATCTCTTGTGGGTGTGGTTTTTTTTCTTTGTTTTGCTTTGTCTGTAGGCCTATGCTATATTAGCTCAGTCGAGATTTAGTGGGAAAAGTGTGGCAAAAAGAAAAAGAGAACACATATTAACTACCGTAGAAGAATACGTGATCATTGGATTAATTATTAATGTTTTTACACGATAAAATAACTAATAGGGGTTCGTTTAAATAGTCTGTTTACCTCTATTCGTGAAGCTAAATATATACTTCCTGTTTTACCGCACCTTCAAGTTTCACCCAATCAGAAGGCTGTATTTGCTCATTCGATACTGAGGTGACAGGGTTTTGGTTCCCTGATTGTTGTCTCACAGACATGATGTTTTCCTGGAGTCTACTCCATAATGTCAAGTTTATTTGTATTTAATGTTATTGTTGAATCCAGTAACTATTGTCTGCTGATTTGTTTGCTTGATTCTTTGATATAGTTTGGTCTTTGAAATAACGGTGAAAAGAGTGCCAGGTTACACATTCCGATGTTGTTATTTGTCAATCCAATAATAGTGGGTTGATATCCAAATCATAGGCCATATCACGATTTTAATAATATTTCCATTGATTGTTTAGCCTTAACTAGAAGTCACAATGAGGTTGTGTTGACCTTTTGTTTTTATGCATGGTTTATTGATTAAACAGTACACATTCCTTCATAATGAAAATGTTTTAGTTGGATGCCTAACCATGCGTACGTGTTTATACATAATTAAATGATGTATGCTTGATCCTAGGGGAAATTAAATGTATTCCATTTACAAGAGTAAGTGTTGCCTGTGAGACTAACGTCAGGGTAAATAACAAACTCTTTATTCCGTCGGGTTACTACCGGACAAATCGAGCCGCAATGCCTACCCTACAGCATGTCTGGTATAAAGTCTGTACACGTGCAGGACAGTCATACATATTTCTGTCTGTTGTGAAGCTGCCACCGTCTGTATGTTCCCTCTCATGCTTCAGGTCACGTGTGCGTTTAGACACAACCGTATCCTGACGTGGCAAACCACTGAACCATGTCTGTACTGTACACACCTTGTTCCAGGAGAAGAAAACCATATCCTCTTAAACACACACACACACACACACACACACACACACACACACACACACACACACACACACACACACACACACACACACACACACACACACACACACACACACAGCGTTATTAATTTGCCTAGGTATAGGCGGCTAAACATCTCACAATATCCTACTTTACAATATCAGTAATCTGCCAGTCTGTTAATTAATGAATATAATAAGCATGTATTATTTACAACAACAACCTATTATTTTATATTGATCAATATATTTGTTTTATACATACTGAAACAAGTTTTCTATTCCAATTTCTTGAGGCATCACTAAACATTTGTACATATTTAAATGTATGTTATTGTCTCCCTTTAAATGTTGTTAAAGTGACAACAGAATATTACAGACTTACTTAATTTCAAAACTTACTTGCACCCTAAAAACATTCACTTTCTAATGAATGCAATTTTCCTTCCTGTTTGCCCAGGTTGGTCCACCTTCACATGGATGAGCTGGGCTTCATCTCTCAGTGGAGAGCCATATTAGCTGGTGGACTGGCTGGTGCTGTGGCTTCGCTGACCACGTACCCTCTGGAGGTGGCAGAAACGCGGCTGATCGCTCAGAACTGCAGACGGCCGGTGTACATGGGCGTAGTTCACACCATCTCAAAGATCTACAGGAATGAGGGGCTGCTGGCGCTCTACAGGGGCTTTTCCCTCACTTTACTGGGTGTGTTTGCAGTCATTTGTTTCTGGTGGTCCAACATATTTAATATGCACTTTTTATTAAAGGCATTCCTGTTCCTCCTGACTTCTGTAACTTACAGTACATTTCATTTGTCTACAGGTGCAATTCCCTTTTCTATCGGATGCTATGCAGTCCACATGAACTTGGACAAACTCTGGCAGGAGCCGTCTTTTCGCTTCACCCCCCTCCAGAACTTTATTAATGGATGTCTTGCAGCAGGAGTGGCTCAAACCCTTTCTTACCCTTTTGAAACTGTAAAGCGGAAGATGCAGGTAATTTGCGGATCACTTCACTCTTTGCACGTAGGTTTGGTTTGATAGGGGAACTGAAAAAGACCTTTAAAAAAATAGGCTGTTTGTAGTATAGCAGGTGTAGTACACTGGATGTGTTACCACGTTAAGTCCACAAGAGGGCAGTGGGCATATGCCAACATGAAGTTTAGACTTTCTTGGTCATTCAAGCAAGTTTAAATTCTTGTATCAAAATAGTCTTGGCAGTTATGTTTTCTCATATTGACCTTCAGAATAATTTGACCTATGGGTATTTGTGGAGGACATTTTTTTTCCATAAAAGTTTCTGAAAACATGAAGAAACATTGGTTTGCACCGCTTTCTCTTGAAATTATGTTTGAGATGCCTCCTGCAGGTTAGGGAGGACACATGGGGAACGTTGGCGCTGCAAAGGACTGAATACTACATCCGGTTTTATCCGCCTATTATTAGCCACCACAAGGTTTCAACAGCAGCTGAGAATTAGATTTTGTGGCTCGTCTGCAGTAGCTGTCGATAAATTCTCTAAAAATAGCCAGTCACTGTCAGACAGCAGGCAAAGTGAGAGTTGTGTATGTTGAGTTCAATAAACCATCACCACCATGTCACCGCACCATCGAGAACAATGTTATATAATGATTTAACTCGTGTCTATGTCTCAGAGTTAAACATTAAAAGTGATGCAGAGATTAGATGATATGAACAGAGCTGAGGGTGTTTGCAGAAGCTTAGGGAAGCCAAGTATTGTTTAACTCGCTGGTTAGCTTAATGTTTCCTCCACAAATTAAGCTGTTTGAACCATCTAATGGTGGCATGTTTCCTTTGATAACCTTGAGACTACTAAAGTTACGTTTCCCCTATCACATGAGGGTCAGACTGTAGAGATGTCGGCACACACAAGAGAGTGTGTATAGGCAGGATAGGGTTACGTTTCTGTATTTTGTTTGAAAATGTGTTTAAAAGTTGTAAATAAAAACAGCTTAAAATGTAATATTCCCCACAAAAAATGTAGTCAATCATAGACAATTCTTAATAGAGCAGAAGTGACACGTTCATTAATTCCTTCATTGCACTTCTTATTAGCAACGCTGCTGTTATGCATGTAAATATCTTACATTCTCGATTCTGTCTCAAGATGGCAACAGTTTCTATCAGTTTTGTCATTCACTTGACATTTTAGGTTGTTACTTCACAGACACATAATGACATTTCGCTGCTGTTCATTTTCTATTTCATTCTCTTCTCAGGCGCAGAGTGCCCGTCTTCCACATTTAGGTGGAGTCGACGTCCATTTCACTGGAACGATGGACTGTTTCATACAGGTTGTTAAAAACAAGGGCGTCCTCTCACTGTGGAACGGCCTTACAGCCAACACAATAAAGGTAACCTTTCAATGATATACTCATATTATTTATATCTCAAACATAGTTTAATCTCTATAAATCATCTGATATGAATTCAAATGACTTCACGTGCTCCGGAGCATGTGTTTATGACGGGGAGAGAATTGTGGCCCATGTCACACGTGAAAGGGAGAGGGATGACGGTGAGGGAGGGGCATTGAAAGCAGTGTTAAGTTTGTATTTCATAGCATGAATAGCCCAAGCAAGCTGGACAAAGTCTGTCCCTGGAACAGCATGCTCCACTCTCATATTTCAGCAGCTAATGTCACAATAGTTGGAAGCTGTTTTACAAATGTAAGGCCTTATCATGAGCCGCTTCTTTAACAAAATATCAAGCTGAATAAAAATAAGTAAAATACACATTTAGCACATTTTAGTTCATATTCAAACCAAAGCATAACCCTCTTAGTTTGGATTGATGGTCAATTTAAAGGAATAATTCACCCCCAAATTCATAATTTGATTATCAGTTACTCACCACTTAATACATTGAATTCTTTTTTCTTGCATGTTTGAAGTAGATGGACATTTTGACAACAGCAAAACTGTTCCAAAACAGTCTTATTCAAAACACAGTGTAGATTATCTTACACTAAGGCAGGTGTGTAACTCTTCTGTGTGAGTCAGGACAAGCAAATTATTATTTAGCGAATAATCATGTGTTAGTGAGGCAGTGAGCAAATTACTGGTTGAATTAGAACTTGATTATACTGCACGAGTGTTGTGAGAGTTTGTAAACTGATCCTTTTATTTATTATTTCAAGGAGACATGGGCCGAATAATGGATATAAAAGTGAACATTTTGAGTGTTAAATATTCCTTCAATCACATGAAATGATGGCATTACACTTTACAAATTCTTTGTCTCTCACCTCTTATCATTCCTTCAGGTTGTTCCCTACTTTGGCCTTCTTTTCACCTGCTTCGAGATGTGTAAGCAGGTTTCCCTTTACCGCAACGGGTACATCGTCTCACCCCTGAGCTACAAACTCACCCCGGGGGTCGACCAGAGCCTCGGGCCGTCCGAGCTGGAGGAGGCAAAGCGCTACTTGAAAAACAGGGACTTTGGGTCATCTTTAGGAAAATGCTGATGAAACTTGACTCGAGAAGA